AACTCAAAAAAAAAAAAAAAAGAAAGTTTGATTTATTCTAATTTAATTTGGGATTTAAATAATCAACAATTTACCCTCCAAAAGTAAACCTGACCCTAACTTGAACATGGGTGCTCAATGTTATTTATTTATTTATTTATTTGAGTTGGAGTCTCACTCTGTCGTCCAAGCTGAGTTGCAGTGGCACACTCAGAGCCACCACAGTCTCAACCTGCCTGGCTTAGGCAATCCTTCTGCCTCAGACGTGTGCCACCACGCCTGGTTAATTTTTTTTTTTTAATTTATTGTAGAGACAAGGTTTCACCAAGTTGCCCAGGCTGGTCTTGAACCCCTGGAGTCAGACAATCCTCTTGCCTCAGCCTCTCAAAGTGCTGGGATTACAGGCTTGTGCTACTGCACCCCGCTCAATGCTCATTATTTAAAAAATAAGTGATGCCCACAACACTTATAAACTGATGATGTTCACTGGAAATAGTGTAGAAATAAAAAAGGCGCTCAACTTTTTGTAACATCCAAATGGCAAAATCTTTTAAAATTTTTTACAGAAACTTCTAGTAAAATGCATATAACACTTTTCTCAGCATGCTATAGGTTAATAATCAGTGTATACACATATATGATGTCCTTAGTGTATTTACCTTCTCTGTACTACGTCATCAACTCTAAGACAAATATCCCGAATTCAGAGATGTAAAAATGTGAAGAAATGTGTGCTTTACAGAAGCCACAAGATATGGCTCATCTTCTAAAGGAAGGGACTTCATTCACTGAATGCTTACCTCTTCATAGTATATGCAGTCAGCCATCAGTATGTAGTCTGGTGGAGAAGTAAAGTCCTGTATTTCTTCCCCCCTTAAAAATGTCAAACAAATACTTTAACTGTTGCTTTAGTAATTACAAATTCTGTTTAATAAACATCAACCAGAGTCCCTTTCCGTGCTTTAATGAAACACAATTTAAAGCACACCACACATCGGTATCTTAAAACAAGCTGAAAGGCCATACAAACCATTTCAGTACCTGGGCTTGAACAGAACCAGTGACAAGATGCTTGTTCATATTAATATTCATTTTCAGCAAGTCTTGCACTTCCTCAAGGTCGGTGACTACCACGTCTGCCCTATAAAATAACATTGGCTGAGGTGCAGGCACCAGGTGCGAAGCCTATAACCCGGGTTTCCCCAGCAAAGCGGAGCCCCTCCCGTCAGCTCTTACCCGAGGGTAGCAGCCATGAGCCCTACGGCCCCGGTGCCCGAACCCAGCTCCAGCACCGACCGCCGACTCAGCGCGTGGGCCCCGTCGCCAGAAAACTCGGGCGTTTCCAGGTATTTAGAAAGAACAATGGCAGCATCCCAGACAACGCAGCCCACGCCGCCAGAGCCATACTGCTGCAGTCGTAGCACCGACCCATCCCGCTTCTCCAAAACTCGCACAAAGCTCCGCAGTGGATCCTCCACAGACTCCGGAGGCGCCGCCATCGCTGCCGGGCAACAAGATTCGGCGCGCGCAGTGGCGTCACATCAGCGCGCGGCCGCGCGGCCCCGCCTCCCGAGGGGCGGTGCCTCCCAGCAAAGTGGGTGGGCGCCAGGGCGCCTGCGCGGGCTCCAAGTTCAGAAGGCAGACCCGTGCGGCGTGGTGGGGCGCTTCCCCCAGTACTCTCCCACACCCAGCACCCCCCCCCCAGCGCCTGGCGGCCTCTCGATTTTAATCACACGCTTGGCTTAACGAAGAGGTGGCTCGATTTACACCACTTTTCCAGACAATGTTAGTGATAGTCTGCTCTTTAAAAAGCAAAGCCAACTTCAGAGTGTTTTTACCTCCAAAGATTCACACAGGAGTTACTGGCTGTAAATCCAGGCAGCTTCCAAGATCTTACCAAAATGGCTGTAATCTTCCCCCTCAAAAGCTTCCTAGATGCTCCTAGTCCCTGGTATGAATGCACACAAGTAGTTGCCGGAAGCCTGCCCATCACACTTAACAGTGGAGACAAAATTCTCTCTCTAAAATTAACACTTAAGTTCTTGAGTAATATGTAAATTGCACAAAATATTGAAAATGGTGTCTATATACAGGATTCAACAATCTCTCTCTTTGTTACTTATAATAAAAACAAGTATTTTAAGTCTTTTAAAAATTAAGACTGGGGTGATTTATTAATCTTGTTAAGAACTCTGATACAAAGCACAGTAAAAGGCCACAGACCAGTAAATAAACAATGTGGCTTTTGGCTACTTTACAACTGCTGCTACGGCGCTATCAGCAAAACACTCTTCACTTTGAAGGAAGGCGGTCAGATGGAAAAGAAAGGTTTTACTCACTTATCCGATTAAAAAGTTTAATAAAGCTTTAAGTATTTGCTGGTTTCAATATTATGAATCTAAAAAAAAAATTCCTTTAAAAATTTCAGTTAACATGAGATTTATAGAGAAAGTTACTAGGTTTTGAAGGCAAGGTAGTGGGTTCCTATGCCATAAGGATTTCCTCTGAATTTATGAATTAGTAAAGTAGCAGATTGTATTATAGGCCTCAAGTCACTTAAATTTATATAGGTTATTAGCAGTATCTTTAAATATACAATATAAACAAAACTGTACATACATGGCATATTAACTTTGTTTTCCAAAACAATAGGCAATTCATTAGCTAAAGACACCATAGTCTGCAGAAACAAAAGGCACATCTGAATGAGATACATGCCCTTTTCTTCCTCCATAATTGGGTTACATAGTCTTTGTTTACATTTTGACAAAATAATAAACACAGTGCATTCTATTATTTTCATTCTACTTTTCATTTTTGTCTTCAGCAGCAAATACTGGCATTTAAGACATGGCATTAAAGAGTTTAAGAACAGTTGGTGTTATTCACAATTCTCCTAGATGTAAAAACTAGAAATAGAAACTAGAAGATGGTCAAAGAGGTTTAAAAATCTGTAACACCATATATCCCTATATTTGTGTAAATTCATTGCCTTACAAAGGCATCTATTATTCAAATTTGAAAAACTCCACAAAAGCACTATCCCCTTCAGTGCGATGTCACCTTAAACCATATTTAGCAGAGTCTCCAGTGCAAATATAAACTCTTGATACTGGCCTTTTGGCAGCACTGGGGATCCAAGACAAGGCAGCGCTACTGATCACCTGAGGATAATGGTGAAGGACTTTTGTATTTTTATTTTTCCAATTCTTCAAAGCTTATTTGATCAGTAGCATTTTTGTAAGAGCATTATTTGTACAAAGTACTAAAATACTATGCCTTTTTAAAATAAATTAAAAAAAAAACTTTACAAATACCATTCCAGTGTCAACGACTACATATGGCTAAGGTCATTGGGGAGTCTCTGCATTTTCTAGCAAAGGCAGTCTGTACAGTGGGGGGTGCGAAAGCTCCCGTTTGTAAGTCTTTGGTGGCAGTTTTGGTAGGTGAGGGCTTGAGTTCTGCCTTGGTGGAACGGGAGGAGCTGGAGGATGAGCAAGATTATTATGACTAGAACTGAGCCTGTAGCATCGACGTGGTACCCTTGGAGAGGGTGTGCTAGGAGGAGTGCTTGGTGAATTTGGACACGTACTGACGTCTCTGAACCATTCTGGATCTCTGTGAAGATGTCCCAGTGGAGGTGGCTGAAGATTAAATGGACAGTTTATAAAGTGTTCTGGAGGCCGAAGGGGAATCGGTGGAGGGGTATCAGGAAGCGGATCTCTTGGTGGTGGTGGAGGTGGACTATGCAGAGGCCCATCAAATGCACCAGATGGAACAGGAACTCTGGGTTTTACCTTTGGAGGAGGCGGTTGTCTTGGTGGAATGGCAGGAGGGTCATCATCAGATTTCGTATTTCCCTCAAAAAAAAAAAAGTAATTAAGCTATACCTTTATTCTCCTGAAAAATCTGTAAAATAAGTTTCTTAAGTGAAAAAATTATTATGCGTCAAATTAAATTCAGAGGCTCAATCTGTGTTAATGATCAGATTATGAATAAATTACTCCCAGTTTAATTCAAGACTCAGTTTAATATTTTTATATATGAGGTGTTTAATTGAAATCTTAGAACATAAAGCCTTGGGTTATCTTGCTTTGTATACACATTTCAGAAATTTATGCATCTTAATTATAATGATAGGTAAGTGAAAACAATACGCAACTTTATAGACATGAAAGGACATGCTGTCAAGAGGATTTTAATGTTCAGCTTCTGTTTGCTGGGCATCTACTTCTACTTTCTCCAATGAGGCTTAGAGCAGTAGATCTTAAAGTGTGATCCAGGGACTAGCAACATCACCAACAGTAGGGAACTTGTTAGAAAAACAAATTCTTGGGCTCCACCCTAGACCTACTGAATCCAACACTCTGGAGATAGGGTTCAACAATCTGGTTTTCTTTTCTTTTTTTTTTGAGTTGAAGTCTCACTCTGTCACCCAGACTGGAGTGCAGTGGCTGCTCCCGGCCACTGCAGCCTCAGCCTGCTTGGGCTCCGGCGATCATTCCACCTCAGCCTTCCAAGTAGCTGGAACTATAGGCGCACGCTACCATGCCCAGCTAATTTTTGATTTATTGTAGAGATGAGGTCTCGCCAAGTTGCTGAGGTGGGTCTCGAACCCACAGGCTCAGGCAATCCACTCACCTCGGCCTTGCAAAGCGCTGGGATTACAGGCTGAGCCACCGAGCCCGGCCAACAATCTGGTTTTCATAAGGTGATTCTGATACACCTTAAAAATTTGAGAAGCACTGGTTGAAAGTTTGAAGACTACTTCCAATGCTACTAAAGTTTTTCCCATCTGTACCTGAAAGAAATGTACTTCTGAGGATCTATGAATCTGCCCAATCTCTTTTTTAGAAAAGGCTTTTATGAGGATTAAATAACTAAAACTATTTTTCAAACATAACAACCCAAATGTTGAAAAATCATAAAGCGTAGTCAAAGTATAATTGACAGACTCTTTATAAGAATGAGCACTATTTTGAAGATTCACAGCTTTGAACAAGTTGAAGAAAAGCCCTTTTGACTACCTTGGAATTTGAAGCATCTTGATCAAACTTTTTTCGAGGAGGAAGTGGAGGAGGAATCAGTGGCTCTTCACTTAGTTTATGTAAACTACCACACGAACTGAAGAAAGATTCTAAGAGAGGAAAATACCAGTTTAATCACAATTCACAGTGCAATTATAAGATAAAACTGTCACAAATTGTGATCACAGACTATATTGCCTGTTTTACATCTGACTGTTGGTTTATCTATCCTCCCTGTTAACCTGTAAGCTTTCTGCATTTATTTTTGCATCCCTTAGCACCTAGCACAATGACTAGGCACATTAGAGGTGCCTTAGCTAAATGAAGGCACAGTATTTAATTAAGAGTAATGAGATTCTGCTCCACAAAAAGCCTTTTTGTAATCTAAAAAATAAACGTGTTTGAATATACTGTAGTAACTTCCAGAGAACAACCATCCTAATCAGAGAGCATGTATTTTTGAAGCACCTAGAATTAGGCACATTACTACACATGTAATAAAATGCTTACATAGGAGACCATATTGTAGTGACATATCACAGAACTCTCTACAAGTCTCTCATTGATAATGTACACATTATATAAGCACATTAGAGGAAATATAAATAATAAAGCATTAGGGGAAAATTGCTCCTAAACAGATCAACCAGACATAGAACAAGGACTGTTTTCATTCTGATTCGTTTCTATGGTCCAACTCCCCATTTGATAGCTCTCTACATATAGTTGGTATTGTTTTGGCCAGGGGAAAAAGGCTGTATTACAGGCGATGTCAGCTGGAGGGATGGGAGAAAAGCCTCAACTCCATCACCCTCTCTCGGACTAAAGTTAGAGGTTTACACACAAAGTTATTATAAAAACAAGTAACCATGTTTTATTTGTCACTGTACTGAGACTGGGGTACACGGGAGCTAGTTGGGAAATAAAATGATGAGTTTAATTTTAATTAAATAAAATTTAATTTAATAACAAAACTCTAAGTGAACTGTCTTATGAGATATCCAAGTAGATATATCAAGCTAATTATTCTATGTCAAAAATTGCTGTCCTGATCCTGTGACTATGCAGTTACCTCTGGGAGTCCTGTTGGCTCAGGGGCCAACAGCTGCACAAAGTTATGTCTATGAGGTTGGCAGATGGTGTGGGGAGGTTAGGCAGAGGGTATGTTCTTCATGCCTGTCCAGCATCGTTTATTCTGCCTTTGGGAAAACTCCTCTTTATGGTGGTAAATCCATCCCACAAGGTTGAGTCTATTAATCTTGCCCAGGGCACCCCAATTCATACCAAGAAGTAGGCATAGGATTCACTTTCTCAACATGACCAGATTTTTATCCACCTCTCTTTCATACATGCAGCTGTGCATAGAGAAAGCTGATCTTACTCATTAGTTCCAAGGATGCGACTTGATTAGTACAAATCCATCAGTGTAATACCATTCCTTTAGTCAGAGTGATTGGTTAAACAGTAAGCATGTGACCTAGTTTAGACTAGTGAAATTTGAAAGGAGATTCTGTGGAAGCT